CTGGGCTCACATGAACTCTTTACAACGTTACTTCCTATCACTGGCACCAGGGACTGAGCAGAGGGCAGAGTGAGAAGTTACGCTTAAGGAGAACTGCATACTTTAAATGGGGACCAACATTGTGTTGATGCCGGTTAAGCCACTGCCTGTGACACCAGCATGCTTTATGAGTGCCGGTTCACGGATCCCAGCTTCTCCACTTCCAATCCAGCTCTCTGCTACTGCGCCCAGGAAAGCAGCAGCAGAAGGCCCAAGTACTTGGGCTTCTGCCACCCACATGGAAGACACCGCGGAGTTCTTGGCCTTTGGCCTGGCCCAGCCCTGACTGTTGTGGCCATTTGGAGAATGACCCAGTGGATGGAAGATATCTGCCTCTCCTCTCCCCCTCTCTGTAACTTTGTCTTTCAAATAAATAGCTTTTTTTAAAAAATGGCTAAAACGGTGACTGGTGTTGTGGTGCATCAGATTAGGCCTCCATTTGTGATTTTGGCGTCCTACAAGAGTGCAGGTTGGAGTCCCAGCTACTCTGCTTTCTATTCAACTTCCTGCTAAGGTGCTGGGCAGGCAGTTGAAGATGGCTGAAGTCCTTGGGCCCCTGCCGCCCATGTGGGAGAACAGAATGAAGTTCCTGGCTCCTGGCTTCAGCCTGGCCCAGATCTGGCTATTGAGGCTATTTGGGGAGTGAACAGCTGACGGAAGATCTTTTTCTGTCTTGTGTCTTGTGTTCTCTCTCTTAAATAAGTAAATCCTTAAAACAGGGGTTGTGGCACGGCAGGTTCAGCTGCTGCTTGGGACAGTGCATCCCAGATCTGGGAGTGGCTGTTTGAGTCCCAGCTACTCCCCCTCCAATCCAACCTCCTGCTGGTGAGCCTGGGAAGGCAGCACATGATGGCTGTCTCTGCCACCAGTGTGGGAGGTCTGGTTGGAGCAGGGCACTCTTAGCTTTGTTCTGGTTCAGCCCCAGCTGTTGCTGGCATTGGAGGAGTGAACCAGCAGATTCTCTCTCTCTCTCTCTCTCTCTCTCTCTCTCTCTCTCTCTCTCCCTCCTTCTCTCTCTCTGCCCTCTATAAATAAGAAAATCCTTTTAAAAAATGTCTAACTTGGTAAAGTTTATGTTACACAAGTTTTGTTACAATAAAAAATGACTTAGCTGCTCTCAAGGGGCTAAAATGCAGTGACCCCTAAGATACAATCATGGAAGAAAGCTCACTTCTGAACCCTGTGCAAAGTGTTAGAAAAAGGAGGAGAGGGGTTCCTTGCATGTCAGGGTGTGTGTGCGTGTGCACAGCACTCTGAAAGGAGAGAATATAAACAGCAGCCTAAAGCTGGCTGTCTCGCAGCAGGATGTGTGGCCCGTGGGTGCCAAAGTGGGAGGGAGGCCGACTTTTCACTTCCTCCTCCTTGGTGCAGCTTGAGTTTTGGGGCATGCGCACTGCCACCCAGGTCCCTTACCATCATCTTCAGACTCAGCCCAGTTCCAGGAGGGCCCTGGGAGGCTGCGCTCTCCTTCCGGCCGAGCCGCCCCTGCTCGGAGCGTGTTCTGGAGCGCTCCTCTGCCACCTGCCTTGCCAGTCTCAGCGTGTTGTTTTGCTGCCCTCCATGGTAGCAAATCCTCGGGGGTGGAACTGAATTTTGGAAACAATCCCAAATAGTTTGGAGCCAAGTCTAGTAGCTGTCAGTTCTGACTAGAGAATCGATGGCACGACTTATGTATTTGTTTTCTGCCTCATTGCACCAAGGAATTAAGGCCCAGGGCTCCTCCGAAGGCCCATTGCCTAATGTGGAGCCCAAGAGGAGTCTCTGCTACGTCGTCCTTGGTAGCATCAGAGAAACGGGTGTCAATGGGGCGGGTGGTGTGGCACAGTGGGTTAAGCCGCCGCCTGTGGTGTTGGCATCCCATATCTGAGGGCTGGCAAGTCCCAGCTGCTCTGCTTCTGATTCAGCTCTCTGCTAATGCATCTTGCAGTGGGTGATGGCCCTAATGCTTGGGCCTCTGCCACCCATGTGGGAGACCAGGATGGAGTTCTTGGCTCCTGGCTTCAGCCTGGCCCAGAACTGGCTGTCGTAGCCATTTGGGGAGTGAACCAATGGGCTGAAGCTTCTTCCTTCTCTCTCTCTCTTTCTCTCCCTCCCCCTCTCTGGTGCTCTGCCTTTCAAAATAAATAAATAAATAAATAAAATAAACAATTGCTTTTTTAAAGAATTATTTTATTTCTTTGAAAGACAGAGTTACAGAGAGAGGTAGAACCAGAGAGAGGTCTTTCACTCCACTGGTTCACTCCCCAAATGACCGCAATGGCCAGAGCTGAGCTGATCCGAAGCCAGGAGCCAGGATCTTCTTTCAGGTCTCCCACGCAGGTGCAAGGGGCCCAAGGACTTGGACCATCCTCTACTGCTTTCCCAGGCTACAGCAGAGAGCTGGCTCAGAAGAGGAGCAGCCGGAACTCAAACCAGCATCCATACGGGATGGCAGCGCTGCAGGCTGGGGCTTTAACCTGCTGTGCCACAGTGCCAGCCCCAACAATTCTTTAAAAGCATAAAGAAGAGAGAAAGAAATGGATGTCCAGTCTCCTAGAACAGATTAATCAGGTTCTTCGGGCTTCAGTGAACAATAAGACAAAAGACAAGAAGAAAGGGGTGGGGGTTCACAAAACTGAAGCAAGAGCTCCAGGAAGTAGGGTCTGGGGCTGGGCTAGGCTAGGGGCTGCCTGCCCCTGCCTGCACCCCTGCTCCTCTCTGGGTCTCCCAGCATGCTGGCCTCTTCTTCCTCCTACTCCCCAGGGGCAGGAAACATGGCTACCAAAGGCTCCAGTCTCTCCAGTTTAGTAATCCCAATTCTGCCTGCTGGATCCTTGTGTGTGTGTGTGCGTGTGTGTGTGTGTGTCTTATGGCCCTGCTCAGGACCATGCCCACCCCTTGAGCCAATCACCCTGTAGTAAGATTGGCTGGGACCAGGCTCACATGTGTAGTCTTTGGGGGTTGGGAGGGGGAGGAGGTGCAGCATTTGTCCTCAAAATAAGGAGACTTGCAGGCTACTTTGAATGACAGTGACAATGCTGCCAATGCGGCTGCTGCCGCCCGGGGTGTGTTACAGACCCTGGGACCTCCAAATCCTTTGCAATACACAAGGGTGCTTCCCAGAGTTCATGGGAAAAAGGAATTAAAAGTTATTTTAGTGCGAAAACATTGAAATTCTTACATAGTCGTACAAGTCTAGTTAGGAGGATGGAAGGCAAAAATAACCACAAGACAACAGCTCGCACCAACTCGGAGGCTGGATAAGAACATCTGGAACTCCCCATCCACCTCGGAAGCCTGGCTCAGATAAAGATGAGCCACTCATGGGAAAGGGCTTTGGGAATACAGCGGTAACCAGGCCCTTTAGAGTTTACCTGGCACATTCACACCTTACCTGGGCCAAAGCCCGGCTCTGCAATCAGACTGCCTCAGTTTCCTGAGCTGTAAAGTGGGAACCATGCTAGACTCACCTCCTAGGGTTGCTGGGGAACTGGGGATGATGGGTATGAGGCCCCCAGCAGATGGGCACACAGCAGGTGGTCAGTGCACGGAAGACATCGTTACTGTTGTGTTGGGTGCAATGTGGTTACCTAGGCCTGCGCAGCCCCCACAGGGCAGCCATTGCAAGGCTGAGCGTCCCCAGGGATAGCTGAGGACCCCCGAACTCAGAGGTGAAGGACAGGCCTGCCAGCAACTACTCCTGCTGGTGATGGCGGGACCAGGCAGAACCACCCACGGCCCCCTCATCCAGTGCTTTATGTCCAGGGTCCGCATCTCAAAAGGCTCAGGCCTAAGAGAGGGCTGTGGAGCCCCAGATGGAGGTGTGGAGACACGGCTGATGCCTTTAGGCAGAGGAGGGGGCTGTGGAGGGACCAGGGATGGGAGAGCATGGGACCCGTCACCTCCAGCTTCCCCAGGTACCCGGGCCCCGCCCCCAGGCCTCTCCTGGGCCTTGTCTCCCAGGGCTCAAGCATTCTCCTCTATAAATACCAGCTCTGGTATTTCGGGTTGGCAGCTGCTGCCTCCCAGGAGATGGCTGGGTTGACACTTGGCTCCTGACAAAACACAAACCCCTGGTTTGAGTGGGTGTGGGTGCTGAGGAAGGGGATGAATCAGAGAGGGGGCAGAGTGGGGGTCAGGGTGGGAGGCAGGAGCAGTCAGTGTGTGGGTGTGACCGTACCCACGATGGGAAACAGAGAGCGCACTGGCCCCTTCCTGGAAGTCATCTTTCTGTTTATAAACTTCAGGACCCGCCCCCTTGCTAGTTGGGGTGGGGGGGCGGGGGAGTGGGGAAGGAGGCCCACAGGAGCCAGTGGGAGACTGAGACTGGTACCAGTGGACATACGAGGGCAGGCAGGCTCTGGCCAAGATGACTCTGCCCACCAGATGCCCTGCCACCCTCCCTGCTTACCTGGAGACCCCACCCCATAGGCCTGGCCTTTCTATGAGCCCCCCAGAACCAATGTACTTGCCGGAGAAGCTTAGAGAGGAGGGAGCTTGGAGACGTCCTGGGAACAGCTCGTGTCCCTTCAAAGAGGCCAGAGTGTCTCCCTGGAGCAATAAAGAGGACCCTCACCCTAACAGAAGCCCCTAGCTGCTCCCTCCTGGGGACAAGAAAGCCACCCAGGGCTGGAGGGACCCCCACCCCCACGCTGGGGGGGTGCCGGCTGCCCTGGCGCAGCAGTTGGCAGGCCTGCCTGTCTTCGGCCCTCCTGAGGGCCTTAGCCCCTCGCAGGCCCCCCGCCCGCGCGCTCAGGGGCGCAGGCCCGCCCCGCCCCCACGGCCAGGCCGCCCTTTCCTGGCAGGACAGCGGGATCCTGCAGCTGTCAGGGGAGGGGCGGCGGGGGCTGATGTCAGGAGGGCTACAAATAGTGCCGACGGCTGGGGCCCCTGGCAGTCTCCCTCGCCGCCTCCACTCTCCAGCCGGCCGCCCGCCCGCCGCCGCCTCCGTGCGCCCGCCCAGCCTCGCCCGTGCCGCCACCATGAGCCAGGCCTACTCGTCCAGCCAGCGCGTGTCCTCCTACCGCCGCACCTTCGGCGGCGCCCCGGGCTTCTCGCTCGGCTCCCCGCTCAGCTCGCCCGTGTTCCCGCGCACGGGCTTTGGCACCAAGGGCTCCTCGAGCTCGGTGACGTCGCGCGTGTACCAGGTGTCGCGCACGTCGGGCGGGGCTGGGGGCCTGGGGTCGCTGCGGGCCAGCCGGCTGGGGACCACGCGGACACCCTCCTATGGCGCGGGCGAGCTGCTGGACTTCTCGCTGGCGGACGCCGTGAACCAGGAGTTCCTGGCCACGCGCACCAACGAGAAGGTGGAGCTGCAGGAGCTCAATGACCGCTTCGCCAACTACATCGAGAAGGTGCGCTTCCTGGAGCAGCAGAACGCGGCGCTCGCCGCCGAGGTGAACCGGCTCAAGGGCCGCGAGCCCACGCGCGTCGCGGAGCTGTACGAGGAGGAGCTGCGCGAGCTGCGGCGCCAGGTGGAGGTGCTCACCAACCAGCGAGCCCGCGTCGACGTCGAGCGCGACAACCTCATCGACGACCTGCAGCGGCTCAAGGCCAAGTGAGGCCCGGAGCCCCGATCCCCTTCCCTTGGGCCCAGCCATCAGCACCCTCCGCCCCCAGGTCTAGGGACCCTCTCCAGCCCCTCCCCTTGGCTCCCCCGCGGGGACATGGACGCAGGTCTCTCCCCATTGCGCTCCCAGCCTACACGGGAGTTTTAGGGGGAGCTACATCATGGGGTGGAAATGATAAACCTGGAGAGACTCCCCCTTAGAAAGCATCTTGAGATGCTGGAGGGATGGTGATAGGGGTCAAGGAGGCAGGTGGGTGCAGGAAAGGCTGGAGGAGGCCAGGGTGTAGTCAGAGGGGGAGGGGAGGCTGAGAGGGGGAGGGGAGAGGAGAAGGGGGCCTGGCCCCTGGGCAGAGCAGAGGCTGTAGTTTCCCAAGGTGGATCCCTGAGCTGGAGGAAAGGGGCTGGGGTGGTGGAAGGCTGCGACGGCAGGAAGCTGGAGAGGACCAGGTGGAAGGGTGAGAGGGAGGCAATCTAGAGTGCTCCTGGGCCGCGCGGCTGACAGCACAGGTGAGCCGAGTCGCCCTCCTGCCACCAAAGTCCCAGACAAGAGCAGCCACACGGGCCAGGCTGGGCTGAGATCTAGGAGCGCAGAGGTGGATAAAATAGACACGGTTCCTGACCCCATGGAGGTCACAGGCTGGTGGGGACACGGACTTCGAGGGTGTGACTTCTGGGCAGAGATTGGGCCACTTCCTGTCCCCTCCCTGCCTGGGCGGGGCCTCTGTCACTCCCTTTTTGGGCCTCCTGGCTCTACCCAGCAGCCAGGCCTTCTCCCTCTCCTGAGCCCACTCCCTGACCATCTCCGCTGCCAGCTTTAGCCCTCCCACCCACAGTTCTCTGTCCTCCGTCTGTCCTGGGCAGGCTGCAGGAGGAGATCCAGCTGAAAGAAGAGGCAGAGAATAACCTGGCTGCCTTCCGAGCGGTGAGCCCTCTTCTGTCTCCCAGCTGCCTTGCCCCTCGTGTAGCCCCTGGGTGGCCCCTGGTCTCCCTCCTCCTCGCCTGGGTGGCCCCATGACACTGTGCTTTCCCCTGGACCCCTCCCAGGATGTGGACGCAGCCACACTAGCTCGCATCGACCTGGAGCGCAGAATCGAATCTCTCAACGAGGAGATCGCATTCCTTAAGAAAGTGCACGAAGAGGTATGCCCGGCCCCCTGCGCCTCAGGGTCCTTGGGCTGTGGTCAAAGCAGCAGGGAAAGTGGGGATGGGGTGGGGCTCAGGGATGGGGATGTGAGGGCGCTGAGGGGTGGGGGCGGGGGCGGGGCCTGGCAGGAGACTGAAGCGCAGCTGCACCTTGCAGGAGATCCGGGAGTTGCAAGCCCAACTTCAGGAACAGCAGGTCCAGGTGGAGATGGACATGTCCAAGCCGGACCTCACCGCTGCCCTCAGGGACATCCGGGCTCAGTACGAGAGCATTGCGGCGAAGAACATTTCTGAAGCCGAGGAGTGGTACAAGTCCAAGGTGGGTGCCCTGGGGGACTGCGGCGCCTCTGACCTCCTTAACCCCGATTTGGAGGTGCTGCCCGTGGTCCCTTGCTGGAGGCGGGGGGAGCCCGGAGTCTCCCTGCTTCCTGCTCATCCCTACCTGCATCCTGCTTCTCCCCCCTCTCAGAGTCCCTCTCTCTGCCCTTAGGTGTCTGACCTGACCCAGGCTGCCAACAAGAACAACGATGCCCTGCGCCAGGCCAAGCAGGAGATGATGGAATACCGACACCAGATCCAGTCCTACACCTGCGAGATTGATGCCCTCAAGGGCACTGTGAGTCCCTTTGCACCTCGCCCTGCCCAGCCCCTGCCTCTCGCCTCCCCCGCTCTGTGACCTTGAACCTGTCACAGACCTTGTTTGGACCTCCATCCCTTCACATCTGCAACAGGTGTCGCACTCAGGAATCTGGGTGGGGGTGGGGAGGTTGAACACAGGTGCTTCCTTGGGGAAGTCTCAGGCAGCCTGACCACCCAGCCCAAGGCTGTGTCTCTCTCCATGCCAGGCCCCCTGTGGCCTCCTCCCTGCACAGCTGTCCTCATCTGGACTCCCTTCTCTCCCCTGTAGAACGATTCCCTGATGCGGCAGATGCGGGAGCTGGAAGACCGCTTTGCCAGCGAGGCCAGCGGCTACCAGGACAACATTGCGCGCCTGGAGGAGGAGATCCGGCACCTCAAGGACGAGATGGCCCGCCACCTGCGCGAGTACCAGGACCTGCTCAATGTGAAGATGGCCCTGGACGTGGAGATTGCTACCTACCGGAAGCTGCTGGAGGGCGAGGAGAGCCGGTGAGGGGCAAGGCCGGGCTGGGGGTGGGACGTTGAGGGGCCCAGTGCTGTGCTGCCCTTGGCGGGGCGGGGGGCAGCTCGGGGCCACACCAACAAGACCTGGAAACCAGAAGCCGCCACTGCTCTCATTGCAAACCGTTAACCAAAACCACCTGGGTAAAGAAAGGATTTAATTAACAGCTTTTATAACACGAGAAGTGTAAGTATTCCCTTATTCACGTTCGGAATGAAGAATCAGTAGCGTAAAACTACATACTGCAAACAGTAATAAAATAATACTGCCTGTCAAGGGAGACATGACCGCAGAGTGGGCAGTGATGAGGAAGGGAGGGGAGGGGACAGAGACAGGTAGACGGGAAGCCCTGCCCAGGGAATGGCTGAGGGAGCAGGTGAAGAAAAACCTGCACACACGCACACGCACATGCACACGCGTACACGCACACGCATGCCTAAAGGAAAACCCTCAGAAAGGCCGAGCTACTCACCTCTAGACACAGAAAACAACACACAGCTGGTAAGGGACAAGAGGGCACCTTCTGGGGTGATGGAAATGAGCCATGTTCTTGGTTTGTTGTAGACGTTGTTCGAAGCCACTGAAATGAAGATCTGTGCATTTCACTCCATACCAGTTTAACCTCAATTTAAAACAGGCCAACTACTCCTCCCCAAAGAGTTATCTATTGCATAAAAAGGTTAAGATTTGAGGTCTAAGAAAAGCAGCAGACATGTTTAGATATGGACTTCGACATGGAGATTCAGGTTTCACAGAACAAATGACAGCCTTTTAGGGTGGCTCAAGTCCTGTTGCGTCTCCCCAGCAAGCTACATCAGTGGTCAGATCTGAGAACTGGCCTGGCTGGAGGGTGGGCACACACACAGTGGGCGTCCCTCGAAGCTGCCACTGATGCCTCTGGCAGTGCCAGGGGTGAGCAAGACATCCTGGAGAATGCGAGGGTCTGTGGGGTTGGATCTCTTAGCATCACACTAGGGGGTCAGCGTTGGGCTGACAGATCCTTCCAGAAGGGACAATGCCTGGGATAGCTTGGGTTGGAGCCTTTCACCCCATGCTCTGAGCAGTGTGGGCAGCGGGTATGTTGGGCTAAGTGGGATTGGGACTGCTCAGACTGGTGTTTATGGAAGATGGGTGGTTGCAGGGAAAGATGGGCGGGTCCTTAACCCTCCTGGGGCTTGGTCTGTCCCCTTTCAGGATCAACCTCCCCATCCAGACCTACTCTGCTCTCAACTTCCGAGGTGAGTATGTGTTGGTGGGGTGGAGGCAGGCGTCACCAGGGCGGTGTGGGTGCTGCGCAAAGCCAGCCAGGAGGGGAGGCTGGAACAGGGGAGCAGGGCCAGATCTGAGGTTTGGGGGAGAGTGTGGGGGTAGGGTCACGTTCTAAAGGAGAGACTTTCAGATTTGATTGCATTGTATTGCATTGCATTGCGTTGTGTTGACCATGTCCCCTGCCCCACCTGGGCATGCTGAACATTCCAGAAACAGCCTCTGTTCTGAGTCCCAGGGGTGTCCCGGGGGGCCTGGCAGCAGAAGCATCCCTTTCTCGCTGGGCTGGAAGGCACCGCCCACTCAGGTCTGCTGTGCCAAGCACCCTAGCGGCTGCTTCTCGAGCACCTCCGTTTGCTGGAGCAAGATGTTGGATGTGCATTCAAAAAAAACCAAGCCAGATCTTAGCAAAGCCAAACAATGGAAAGAAGGAGCTCTTGGGGCACTGCGCCATTTGTAATATGCAGATTGAGTGGCTTTCCAGCCCTGGATTGCAGAAAAACTCGCTGTAATTGTGCATTAGGAAGGCAAGTTGGAGTCCTTGGCAGCGTCTCCTTTCCTAGATCAAACCTTTTACATTTCAATGTTCATTTCCATCAGGAGAAAAATGCACGCTGTGCTCCGCCAGGTTTTGGTGTTTATCACGGGCTAGCTGCTTGCTAAGGAGATTCAGGAATGCCCTGCTCCTAACACCAGGGACCTCGGTTTGACCCTCCCCATAAACTGATGCTCTCCTTTCTGTTAGCTGTTCATACAGACACCAAGCATGAGTCTTGCATTTAAAACTGCTGAGTGCGTTTCCAGACCAATAGCTCTGTGACCATGATAACGCAAGGATCGCTTCGTAGTGAGAAAGCTGAGGCACAGGAGAGCAGGTGGATGTCTGTGGGCACAGTGAACCATGCATTGACTCCTGCCCCATCTCACCTCCCTCAAGACATCAGGCTTAAAGGGGCCAGGTTCTAGAAGAGCCTTCCAACATATGTCACATGTCGTATGTCACATAGCTCTAGGCTTTGGGATGCTAATGGTCTTGGAGGAGGGGACTCCCAGATACAAATCAGTGCAGGGCTCTCCCGGGGTCCAGGGGTGGAGAGGAATCATGGAGCTGTGGAGAGTGTGAATGCTGGGTAGCCTGGGCCTCCTGCACGGCCCACCCAGGGGGCAAATCTCTCAGCATTGCGGCTGCCCCCCCCCCCAAGCTCTACAGAGCCACCTGCTGGCCACTGGGCTCAAGGACAGTGGCTAAAGTCTTGTAGGGAGCCTGTCTTGAGGCGGCAGGTGTGTGCCCCGGCTCCGGCTGGCATTCCCTGGGTGGAGTCCCAGCGCTCCACCCCATCCTCCTGCCCCGGGCAGCCTGGGTCTGGGTTTGGTCACACTGAATGTGCCACGTGTCTGTCACAGAAACCAGCCCGGAGCAGAGGGGCTCCGAGGTCCATACCAAAAAGACTGTGATGATCAAGACCATCGAGACCCGGGATGGAGAGGTGAGCAGTCTGTGTGGCCTCCTTACCCTGGGTGGGGGGCTGTGGGAGTGTCTTCCACCAGCTGGGCTGGTCTAGGCCCTTGGCTGGGGGACAGGAGGGGTCGGCACAGGGCCGAGGCCCCCTTCTGCAGCCAGCACCTGTTGGACTGGGCTTTTCTCACCTCCAGGTTGTCAGCGAGGCCACACAGCAGCAACACGAGGTGCTGTAAAGCCAGAGCCGCTCCGAGACTGCCCTCGCCCCTGTCCTCACTGCCTCCCAAAGCCAGCCTCCTTCTACCCTGGGACACCGCCCCCCAGCCGTCTCCCCCTCACAGCCCCTGCTCCCTCCTCACTGACCAGCCCTCGTGGTCCCCACAGGGGGCATGGCCTGGACCTGCCCAGCCACAGGGCACATCCCAGACGCCTGCTGTGAGTCCTGGCTGTTGGAAGTGGGTGAACGTGGCTCTCAAGCCACGTGGAGCCCAGGCCCAGGGCTGTGACCTTGCCCTTCCCGCCTCCTAACCTTGGGCTCAGTGTTGGGACCCAGCAGGGTCAGAGTGGAGCCCAGGAGACCTCTCCATCCATTAGCCTGGGTCACAGCAAGGGACAGCCTTGTGAGCAAGCTGGGCAGGTAGCAGGGTGGCCCCTGTGGAGCCTGGGGGGCTGGAGACCATCACCGTCGTCCCTTCCTTTCCTTTCCCCAGCTCAGGGAGGACTCAGAAAGCAAGGGCTGCAAGAGGGAACCCCCGAAGGTGCCGTGTGTGGGAGCAGGAGATTCCGAAGGAGAGAGGGTGGGTGAGATGCTGGAGAGGACAGAGGCAGAGAGTGGTCTCAGGCTGGCGTCTGGGGTGCCCACCTCCCCGTGCCCGCCCCTCTCGCTGCAGGGCTCTGGACAGAAACAATAAAGACGTAAGCACAAGCCTTGCCTGTCTTAACTGCCGGCTCGCCCCTGGGGGTTCCTGGGGCCCCATCACATCGCCCTGAGATGGAGTGGGCCCTGCCCCTGTGCAGCCAGCCACATGGGGGCAAGGAGGGCTGGCCCTGGGGCTTTAGCTGGAGAACCACAAGTGCTTCCTCTTAGTCCCCAACTCCTAGATGGCACCTTTCTGCCCGCTCCGCGTCTTCAGGTCAGCAGGGGCACCTGCTTCTGTCCTTTCCAAAGGACTTGGTGGCTCACACAGACAGCTCCCAAAGGAGACCCCTCAGTCCCTTCCTCAAAGGAACCTGGGGTTCTTTCCATGAACCCCTCCAAAGACCTCTGATGCCCAGGGGCTATGTCTGGAAAAATAGCAAAGTGTGGAAAAGGGGAAGAGCCGTGCATGGCTAAGAAGACTCAACCCTCTACAAATCCCAGTTCCCCTGACAGCCCTCTCCCAGTTCAAGGCAATCTCAAGTACAACGCCATGGGGAAATTTGGGGAGAATGGAGGGAGGGGGAGGGAGTGTGGGACAGCCCAGAAGAAATCAGGAAATCTTGGAGGGAAACATGAAAATATATTAGGAGGCTCTGATAATTAAAGCAGATTTGTTCAGGAAGAGGAAGTGTACAAACATTAATGGAGTAAAACTGTTTGAAAGAGAACCACGTGTACGCACAGCATTCCAGCACGTGTGTTCAGGAGGCATTTTTCCTTGATTAATTCAACAACAGGGCTTGGGGGCAACTGGGGAGCCCAGGGGTGTTGAGGAGGGGCGGGAGTGAAGGCTATTTTTCTTCTGAATCCTCCTGAAAAGTAGATCCCAAGTGGATCCAAGACTTAGCAGAGCTGGTGGATCATGCAGGCCCCAGTCTTCACGCTGAGCACAAGAACAGTAGGTCACACAGCTGTAGGCGAAATAGACCTAATAAGGTTTTAGTCTGAAGGCTCCATGTCTGACATTCTGCACTGGCCTTTCCAGAAACTTCCAGGTCTTTCTGGTTCTCCTAGCTCCTTCTCACAAGTCTCCCTTTCTCTCTGAGAACACCCCTTCTTCATGGCGTTCTTTATTTTTTTAAGATTTAATTTATTCATTTGAAAGACAGAGTTACAGAGAGAGAAGGAAGGAGAGCTAGAGAGAGAAAGAGAGAGAGAGAGAGAGGTCTTACATCCGCTGATTCACTCTCCAAATGGCCGTAATAGCCAGGGTTGGGCTAGGCCAAAGTTAGGACCCAGGAGCTTCTTCCGTGTCTCCCATCTGGGTCCAGGGGCCCAGGGACTTGGGCCGTCCTCTGCTGCTTTCCCAGGCCATTAGCAGGGAGCTAGATCAGAAGTGGAGCAACCGGGACTTGAACTGGCGCCCATACGAATGCCGGTGCTGCAGGCGGCAGCCTAACCCTCTGCACCACAGCCTGACGCCTCCATGGTGCTCTTGACTCTTGCCCTGGGAGGGTTCCAAGTTCCCAGCTTCCATCCCCCGTGACCCATGGTTCCTTCTGTTTCCCTTGTGTGCTGATGGAGCTGGGAAGTATCAGTCAAACTTGGCATCCAGAAACCCCACAGCAACCCTTGCAAAAAGTAACGTTGGAAGCAGCCTTTCCCATGTCTTCATGGGAAAGGGGCAGCTTCTCCTTGAGTCTGCTGGTGGCCTGGAATCGGAGCTCACCTGTCTGTGAGTGGAACACCCGCGAGGGGCTGGGTGCAGGTGGGCCGCGCGCACATGGATCTGTGAGTGGTTTCTGGAGCCTGCAGCCCATGCTTTTCCTTGAATGAGCTACGTGCACTCACAGGAGACACAGGCAAGGAAGGAGCCTCTAGCGCCCCCAAAGGCCCAGGATCAGCAGTCACAAAGGTGGGGGGCAGAGGGGCTGGTGGACGCTCAGAGTTGGGTTCAGATGCGCCCTGGGCAGTAACCCTTACTGGGCAGGAGTCCCCTTCCCAGCCTTGCCCCAGCATCCTCTGCCTGTACGTCCTCTTCCAGCCCGGGGCAGCTCTGAAGGGCAGCCCTCCCTTCAGGGCACCCCTCTGTCTCCTGGGGCCACCACCACTCATCCTCAGAGGAGCCAGCACCACCCCCTGTCCCCTGGGGCCAGCTCTCTGAGCAGGGCCTGCCTGGGACAGGAATCCTGGTTTGCAGCTGGGCCAGTCTCCTTGGGCGCTGGACAGTGACCCCCAGGACCAGGGACTGACAGAAACAAACCAACACAGGCTTGGGTCTCCTGGGATTGTGTCTAAAATGGCTGGGTCTGGGCCGGCGCCGCGGCTCACTAGGCTAATCCTCCGCCTAGCGGCGCCGGCACACCGGGTTCTAGTCCCGGTCGGGGCGCCGGATTCTGTCCCGGTTGCCCCTCTTCCAGGCCAGCCCTCTGCTGTGGCCCGGGAGTGCAGTGGAGGATGGCCCAGGTGCTTGGGCCCTGCACCCCATGGGAGACCAGGAAAAGCACCTGGCTCCTGGCTCCTGCCATCGGATCAGCGCGGTGCGCCGGCCGCAGCGCGTCGGCCGCGGCGGCCATTGGAGGGTGAACCAACGGCAAAGGAAGACCTTTCTCTCTGTCTCTCTCTCTCACTGTCCACTCTGCCTGTCAAAAATAAATAAATAAATAAATAAATAAATAAATAAATAAATAAAATGGCTGGGTCTGGATGTACCCCCCCACCACCACCATATACACACACAAACACATGCCCACGGCCTCCAAGGAAAACGTCTCCCTCTTCCGCAGGCCTGGGGTCTCCTTCAGGACTCTGAATGTTGAGAGAAATAAGGGGGCTTTCAGAGGACTGGCCAGCTTCCCACTGGAGCCCAGGCCCGGGCCCAGACTCACCCTGACCCCATCTGAGGGGGCGGGGCAGGAAGGATTATGGAAGCGTTGGCTCCTGTGCTGGGTGTGGAGAGCTCAGGGGGCACTTTCTTATCCCGAGTGTCCACTGTGGCTGCCTTCCCACCTGGAGCCCCCAGGACCCCTCCTTTTCTACCCGATCACCTCCTCTCTCCATCCTCGAAACTGGAGCTTGCCTCATTGCACTTACGCAAATGCACCAAGATCTTCGATTAGACACCCAAAATGTTAGCTACCCCAAGGGGGAAGGGCTTCATCCACTTTTTTCCACTATATGCTTGGAAGAACATTTGATGCATAATAGGTGCTCATTAAATATTTTAACTTTTTTAACCACACCAGAGAGGTGGGGTGACTCACACAGCAGACAGCGTCGGTAGCACAGGAGGATAAGGCCCCCAGCTCCTTGGCCTCTGGAGCCCAGATCTCTTTCCATGACGCCGCAGGCTTGTGATCAAAAGGCAGGGCAGACTGGCAGCACACACACCCTGCCTGGCGCCAGGCTGCAGGGCACCGTGGGGCCCACCCGGCCAGCTGCCCTGGGGGCGGGGCGGAGCCTGACAGCTTCCAGCCGTCCCAGCTAGCGCCGGCTCCTCCAGGAGGGGGCGCCAGCAACTCGCGCCCTCCCCACCCGGCCCCACAGACCCCGGTGTGGAAATCAATGGATGTCCCCATTGGCGACCTAGGAAGGCAGGAGACAAGCTGAGCTCCAGGCTGTGTGCCAGGCCCTTCTAAATAGTTCATGTTCGTTTTAATATTTAATATAATAATTTAACGCCATCACAACAGCGTAAGTCAGATGGTGTAATTCTTTGACTCAAAACCACGAGAAGGCTTCCCGTTCCCCGGGGGAGCAGAAATGCCGTGGCCTGCACCGTGCTGGGCCATCTGGCCCCTGCTGGCTGTCAGATCCATTTCCCTCCACTCCCCGCGCACTCTCCCAGCCTCGCTGCCTTCTGGCTCTTCCCAGAGCCCACCAGGCGTGTTTCCACTTCTGCCTCAAGCCATCCACCCCACACAAGGGCACTACTTTGAGGCTGACGCAAGGCCGACTCCAGCCACCCTGTCGGAAAGCCCAGTCCCACCATGCTCATACCCCCCACCGCCAACCTGAGCCTTCTCACCGTGCCCACCTCCTGTTCATGCTCAAATACAAGCAGCACCAGGACAGGAATCCTCGACTGGTTCACTGCTCTATCCCTGCTCTCTAGAACCGTGCCAGGCCCATAGAAAGAACTCGAATATGTTTGTTGAATGAATGAATGAATGGAACCAAATTGGGCTACCCTGCTACCCTCATTTCATGTTTTAAAAGTTTATTTATTTGAAAGGCAGAGCTACAGAGAGAGAGAGAGAGATAAAGAGAGAGAGAGAGATAAGGAGATAAAGAGAGAGAGAGAATCTTCCATCGCTGATTCACTCCCCAAATGGCCACAAGGGCTGTGGCTGGGCCAGGCCTAAACCAGGAGCTTA